GTCATTGGTCTTGTTTTCAATAATAATGAGAATGTCTGGTGTTTTACATGAGAAGTTTTCCACGACCAATGTATATTTTCAAGAATGAAAGATGGAAAACTAATTATGAATTTAATACTATTTTTTTATACATACATATTAGATATTGAATTCTTTTCTTTTTTTTTTTAATGTTTGTCACATAATGAAACACAAATATTTTTTATCTTTTATTTCGTTCTACTCACAACTTGAATTTATAATTTTTTATTTTTAGTGAAAAAAGATGATCACTGAATTATTTAAATTATTAGTATTAAAAATTAAATTTTAAATGTGTGTTTAAAAGTAAAGATAATTTTAACATTAGATTAAATGATTAATAATATGAATTTAGTATTTTTTTAAATTTAATAGTCAAAGTGTCATCAAGTTAGCCTACGTGTGCTATGAGATTAATCATTTTCCGATTTGATTAGAGGTAAACCATTTACATTGAATTAAGAATTGAAGAAAAATTATATTTTTAGTTGTCTGCGACTCCATTAGTACATCCTTTTAATTATTCTTTTAAAAACAATAATAGAAATAAAAACGCGTTAGGTATGATATTTTTTTTAAAGTGTGAATAAGTGTATAAATAGGGAGATAGACCACATAAATGGTTTTTAATAGTCATAAGTGAATAATTAAAATGAAATAACAAAGTCAGGCTGAGGACAATATCAATAGACCAACAATATTGATGGTTTTGATTAGTTTAAATATTGTTAGTTATTGAAATAAATTACAAAAAAAAAAAAGAAGAAAAAAAGCTACATGAATCTAAAATAAGTATTATTTGGATGACATCTCCTTGTTTTTGTAAAAGTTTTGCTATACAAACCTTGGTATATATGGGTGATGTGGTGTGATGAATTAGTGAAAATTTTGATAAATAATAAGTAACGAAAAGAAGTTTTGTTTTCTTTATTAAGGTCTTTTATTTTGCAATTCAAATAATATTAAATTGTAAAGCATGTGAATAATTTGATGGGAAAGGACCAATCACAAGTATTGTGCAGATAAAATTACATAATTTAAATTACATAATAAATATTTATTTTAAGCTATTATATATATATATTTTTTAAATATGAAGAGAGATTCGAACTCTACACTTTTATTAAGGTGAGATAGTTTTTTATAAGTGATCACTTGGGTTACAATAATTTCTTATATACAAATTACTTTTAATTAAGCGTGTCTTGATGTGATATTATAACATGGGTTAAGAGGTTTCAAAAAATAAAATAAAATATTTAATTTATTAATTGCTTAATTAAATTTATTCATGTTTCATTGATTCTAAAATTAATGTCTATTTTTATATTTTCCTACACAAATTTATTGCAAAAATGTGCCATTAACATGTACCCAAAGGGCACAAATGAGAAAAATCCTTATAATATTAACATAGAGTTTGTCTAAGAGCACAATTTAAGTATCATTAATTATAGTATCTATAATTAATGTTGCACAAATATTTATATCAAATTATTACCTTTTTACATATTTTGAGTATAAATATTATGTTATATTTTAATTTTATATTAATTAAATCTATTATAAAATTTTATACTAAATTAATTACATATACTACATTAAATAAAGTTTAATCTGTGCCCTTAAAAAATTCCATTAACGTAGTAGTATAAGGCATGGTATAAGGCATTTTTTCTCCCAATTACGAAGTTGAAGTGTGAGCCCATGCAATGATCAATGCAGAGTAAAGGCACTCATTTATCAAGAAATGGTCCATTCATCTTAAAGTCAGTTAATAATGAGCGAGCTGGTAATGGTATCTCTTAATAGATGGGGAATGGGTTGTCGAAACCACACTTAAATTCATTCATTGCCCTTACAACAACTTCCTAGACCTTATTAATTAGAGGAGCCAAGGGGTACTATCTCTTTGTGGCTCTATCTAAATATTTATTTATCTATAATCAATAACCTACTAATAAGAATTTGGTTAAGTAAATATTTAGTAAGTTAAAAAATTTTAATTTAAAATTAACATTATATATTAAAATTTATGTATTGTTTGTTACTAAACAATTAACTCTCAATGAAACACCTCATTTCGATATAGTGACATTAGATGTGGGTTAAAATTGTTTATTTCTTATAAGTTATATACGTTCAGTCCCATAGAATTTTTTTTTAACTAATTTGTAAATAATTAAAATATGTTGAAAAAAAAAATCAATTAACTCTTGATGTAAAAAAGGAAAAGAAAAGAAAAGAAAAGAAAAGAAAAAGTACTATGTACTACTCCTTATATTATTATTATGATTTATGGTTACATAGCAATACTTTGAAAAATTCAGAAGTTACGAAATCAAGCTACGTATCTACTAGAAGTTTCTACAAATAGGAAAAAAAAGGCACCTAAATGTAGCTGAGCATATAGGATTATTTAGTATAATAATTTGAAATTAGTGATTAATAATTTTATTTAATTTAATAGATAGTAATTGTTATTATAATATATAAATTAAAGATTTTTATTTATTGAATTAAATTAAATATTAAATATTAAATATTAATTTTAAACCACTATATCAAATAATTTTTATAATAAATAAAGAACACATTTGTCACATAAGGTGTGGTTGCAAGTCATAGTAACCTTGCAAATTTAGGCAGGCCAAGCTGTAATTTGCCAAAAATCAACTAATTTTGACATGACTAGATTTGTTTAGGAGAAAAGTGTTCATCTACCCGACTAATAAAAATTGAGGAAAAAAATTAAAATGATATCATTTTAATATTTTTTAGTAAAAATATTAAATAATATATTTTTTAAAGCAAAAAAAAAATATTATTTTAGTTTTTTATATTACTAATTTATTAAACAAATAGTTTTAAAATATCTATTTTCTCAAAATTTTGAGATCTAACTAATAAAGATCAACATCATTATTTTTTTTATACATTCAATAATAAATTATATATGAAATAATAATTTTTTTTCTTAAAATCACTTATTATTTAACTCAAAATTTAAATATAAAATCTTTAATTTAAAATATGAGACTCTTAACCAATTTAAACTTTAAACTACCCCTCAAGTTGATTAATTTCATTATGATTATACTGTTATTCACTTCATTTTCATGCTGTACAAATTGAACATAGGTATAGCACCTTCAACTTTTAAAAGACCACTTTAGTGACAGGACCGGATTAGAAATAAAAATTTTTAGTTAAAGAGTTGCATTTATTGATAAGTAAGGTTGGGTTTAAAGTTTAAATTTAGAATTAGCTCTTAAAAATTTT